GGTGTTTTCCCTACTGTAGGGTATCTTGGCACTGCTCTAATAAATGGAGAAAAATTACTCCTTGTCCTAGTATGGGTAGGCCTAGGCGGTTCTTCTAGTTGCCTGTTAGGGCAAGGCGTAGAGGCCTCCTCAGCCATCTCAATTTCTAGATTATTATCCATTAGTCGTTTGCTTGTGCCTCTAAGGTCCTTTAAGGCTAGTCTTTTTTTGTTATTTTTATTGTTTTAATATGTCTGTGTTTCTTGCTAAATTTAAGCTTTAATAAGCTCCTGCGTTCCTATTAGCCCCTCTAGTCTTGGCATTAGAGCCCAAGCTCTGTGAGAAAATTCTCACAGGCGTGAGATAACGAAGGAAGGCCTCCTTCTTCTCCCTACTGCGCGCTAGCGCCTTAGCTGCAGGTGTTGAAAGTGCTGTTAGTCGATTCCTCGTGGTCGGTTCTCCTAGATAGCGTGCTTTCCTAGCGGTTTCCAGAAAACTCGAAGTTGGTGGTTGTAATTTGACGGGAAGATCTTAATAGACGCCTGGAAACGTCTTCTCACATCTATGTCACGTGCGTTGGTCCTGCGTCGAAACGCTTTGGCTAAAAGGTCTCGGTTGAATACTGCCTGTACCACCCACGCAAAACGGTCTACTGGATAACTTCCTATTCATAGATGCCTTTGCACGACATTTTGGCCCAAGCTCAGGTGCTTCAGCTGAGATGGTGTCTCACTCGGTTTGCTCCAGCAGGTGTTCAACGTATTAGATTCGCAGCTTGTGTGTCGCCCGTTTGTGAGCTGAACTCCGTATACAATCTCTACTACTTGGCGCCCAACAGTCAGCAAACACACTCAACGCACCAGCGGGATGGGATATGCATGTCTTTGCCACTCCATGTCCGTATAATCCCTCAACCTGGTCACGCAGTCTTGCGTACTCACTATTCAATCTTTCACTCGCGCTCTTCCGGCTGCAGCGAACCGGTATCATGCAGCGATTGGAGCTCGCTAAAACGATCGGGAGAGACCAGCTGTTGGGAGTCGCCCAGCTGACGTATCACGATGCATTCCTGCTCCGGGTAAAGCTATCCCCAAAGTCGGGTATTTTCAATCGGCTTCAATGGTCCCAGATTCTAGAGGAAGCTAATCAACCGCAATCTAAGTAAATGCTTCGTGCGACTGTGCAATTCTATCCCAGGCAACAAATATCTCCTGGTAGGGACAGATAGCGGGGATTTTCGTGCCAGTATCCCAATTGCTGGGTAGGCCACTGGCTTGGTGCAGCCATGTCGCCTGTATACAGGGTACCTTCTTTCATGGCCTACTACCATCACTATGCATGGTAACACCTTTCTGCCAAAACCATGCCGTCTGTCCGTCATGGTACAAGCAAGCAAGTCACTGTACCTGCTTTCCATCGTCTTGTCCGTTCGTATGTGACGTGGATAGGCGTTGCTCAAGCGGATATGCACAGGAGATTACGGTCTTTGATTCACCAAGATTGCTTGCTGACCCAATGGGAAACGAGCATTCGACTATGGGTCAGCTGCCACAGGAAGGCTGGCTGTAGAGCCTTAGAGTCCAAGGGCCATAATCGGCCTCATCAATCACTGGCTAATTTTGGATGCTCTTTGCGCTAGATCTCAATCTTGTCATGACTACTGTCATGCTTCAGTCAGATCCAATGTACACATCAGCACCAAGAGTCAGCCGTAATACTGCGTCGCTGTCTCAAGATTCCATGGCTTCAGCCCCTACGCCACCCAATTTCATCCTTACTGCACCGGCACATACCTCACATCCGGGAGTTATCATTAGCAATCCAGCGCCCACGGATGCAACGACCATCTCGATTGCATACCAGGGCAATGCCACTGCAAGTCTCCCCATGCTTTCGACAAATCAAGGTCTCAGGCCAATACCACCAGCCGCGACGCAGATTGGCGATCCAAACGGCCATCATGAGATTACTGAACCTGATTTCACCGCCACCCGGCCATGCAGAGGATGCGCTCCGGTCATTGAGATAACGGCTACAGGCTGGGTAGACGCGACGGTCGAGGAACAGCATGGCTCTACGGGCAAGCTGGACCCTGCACCACTGGCCACCCAGGCTCGTCCGATGGCCACGATTTCCGCTGGCGCTGCGACGATCATTGTTGGAGAGGGGCCAGACGGCGACACTTTTGTGATAGCGGATTCTTACACTGTTTTTCCTGACCAGACCGTCGTCGTCGACAACACGCCCATTCAAGTCCGAACTTCAGACGGCAAGACGGAAATGGTTCTAGGCACCAAGGTCATACCACTTCATCCAGATCGCCCCGAGATGACAAGCGCTCCAGTGCCCCTGCCAGGTGCAGTCCCGCCCGTACTTAGCATCGGCACCGCAACGATAATGCCAAATCCACAATCCCAATACGTGCTTGGAGTACAGACACTGGTTCCAGGCGGAGAGCCGCTCACCATCTCAGGGACGATCCTCTCTCTTGCGCCTTCTGCAACGGCTCTCGTCATAAATGGGGTGACATCGAGCATTGTCCCTGCTGTCGGTGGCATGTACACGGCTGTGATGCCTGGGGCGCTGACCCTTGAGGGCCAAATATATACAGCCAATGGTGCGGGCGACATCATAATGGGTCCTGGGACCACTCTTATCCCTGGAGGTAATCCAGTGACTATCAACGGGACGACGCTTAGCCTCGTGTCCGGGGGATCAGCAGTTGCAGTCCAGGGCAAGACGAGCACGCTGCAGCCTGCTACAACGGTTGTCACACTGACCAAAGATCCCACTGCGCTCAAAACGGGCTCTCGCAGTGTAGAAGGTCCCAGGCACTCGGCTGAGGTATATATTCATCCCACGGCTGGGACTGAATCCGCTGGAGCAACATGGCGTCTCCCTCTCACATGTGAGACTCGGGTTGAAAGTGTCGTGTTATTGCTTTTGTGGGGTATACATTACGTTGGGCTGCGTTTATGAAGAGACTTGCATAGACGGTGTCTCAGAACCTGGATTGTTGAACGTACGGCGCATTGTACACAAAGCATCTAGAATCAGAGTTTTCATCGTGTTACGTTGCCCTTGTAAGGGGGGCTATGCGGTGGCAGCGACGGGTTGACGGGAAGAGCGAGATGAATCAGACTTGAAATGTCGCAACGTGCGGCCCGCGTAGGTAAATTTAAAAGTGCTTGTGCAAAGCGCCGTGTGGCCGAGTCGGACAAAGAGCGTCAGGAGACGGGACGTGGAGCGAAGGGCGAAAATGGCTCTCGAGTGAAATTGCTCGAACACGGTACTCTCCCCCTCTCCCTCTCTTTCCCAACAAACATGGCACGATCCCGATCACGAGCAGGCGCAGAAGAGACGGTGACTGACTTGCATCGTCATGGGCCAGGTGGTGAAACGCACAACAGGTTGAAGCCAAAAATTTTGCTCGACCAAGCCTCCAAAGGCATCTGTCTAGCAGTTAACGGACATGTGGAAATGGTCGAGGGCGTGAGGTTTACGTACAAACATCCACTTTTGCAGGGCGCACCGACGGGACTCGGGGCTTCTAGATTTTTTAAACACACAGCGACATGGGCAGACGGGGCATCCGACGGGCAACCGGGCGCCACGGAAAAGAGCGAACAGGCTCGTGTGGCTGCTGTGCACATGAGCCAGTAACAGAGATTTCCGCCGCCTTGCCTCCAACGGCAGGCCTCTAGCAGTTAACGGTGCTCCCCTAAAAAAAAACTTTGCGCGTGATGTCGGCGTGGATTGACATTGATGATGTGCACTGGTAAATTTAGCCGCCGACGGGAAACGCGCCGGGTGCCGCCGCGGGTCCCGGAAAAGGCGCATGCACATGTGCATGCATCATCGAGGGTGGATTGGCATAGGGCGTGTGGATCATGGCGAGTGGTTGTCATCATGAGTTGGCCTGCACAGGCCGTCGTCACGCCCTGTGGAGAGCACGAGAGGAGAGGCTGGATGGCAAAATTATGGGGTTTGTCAGCACACCAGCCAATCACGCGACGGGCGGGGCAGGCACAGGCAGTCTCACCATGGGTTTCTGGCCCAGCATGTGCAAGGCGTGTGCAAGGCGTGTTGTTGAGGTAAGAGAAATTTTCTGGGGAGGCGGTCGGAGAGAGAGAGATTTTCGGGCATCCCCTGTGGACGTGCGTGGGCCGTCTGACGATGCTTGGCGGGTGTCATGGCGAAGAGTCTGGGGGAGCCGGCTGCAGAGTATAAAGGGAGGTGGGTACGGCGGTGGTGAGAGGAGACATCAGCAAGCAAGCATCCACAAGCACACTCTCATCGACTCGAATACCATCAGTCAATCATCGACTCCAACATCATCAGTCAATATCATCGACCTTGACACCACCAACCCAACCAACTATCAAAATGACAAACTTCCTCAACTCGGTTGCCGCCCGCGCAAAGGCCCACCACGAGAGCGTCAACGCCGCCTGCAACGCCTACTACACTGGCTCGCTCCCCGCCTCGCAACAAGCCTCGCCCTCTGCATCCCGCAACTCGTCCATGGCAAGCCCTTCATCCAGCCACAAGAACCCAACCAACCTTTCCAAGGCGTGGAAGGCCTTCAAGAAGCACCACGAGGAGATGAACGCCGCCTTTGCCGCCTACTACAGTCCAAACAGCTCTCCCCACGCCTCGCGCAACACGTCTGCCGTCTCCAGCCCCAGGCACAGTGTCGAGGCCCCGAGCAAGTCGCTTGCTGCCGACCACACAGTGCAGCTTCAGGCCGAGCAGGCTCCCCGCAACTACCAGAAGGCGTGGCGGGGCTTCAAGAACAGGGTTGTCGAGCACCACCGCAGCATCAATGCCGCTTTTGACCACACCTATGGCATGCACATGAAGTAAACGCTCGTCATCATTATAGCAGTGTTTGGAGAAGTGAAGAGAACGAAACGAAAGGAAAAGTGATACTAAGGGATATGAACAAGGTGGGGGAAACTCAAAAGTGCTTTTTTGGTTTACGGCGAAAAAAAACAGCGATATACCCGTTCTTGGGCATTGGGAAGGAGTTTTTTTGGTTTTGTTTCAAATAGCATTTGGAGAAAAGAAAAGTTTTGCTTTGGATCAGTTGAGGCGGTTGGATAAGTAATTGGTGCTTGGGGAATGTAAATATATAAGTTTGAGATGATTCTTTGCAAGAATATGGAGATGTGCATGTGCATTTGTGGTGATGGTGCCGATAGAATGGTAGTGCGAGTTTGGACTTGGTTTGGGGGAGGTTGATAGTGGTTGATAGTGGTTGGACGGGGATGTTGGAAATATACCGATGAATACCGATGCATACCGATGGTGCCCATGTACACATAGTGTTTAATGATTTGACGTGTTTGGTGTATTTGGATTTGGCAGAGCACTCAGTTCGATGTTAGCTGAATTACAGAAAGTAAAATCTACTACCTCCAACTGGCTCATGTGCTCATGAGTGCAATGGCCCGAGCAAGACGTTACACCTGACAATGGCATGAGCCTCGGGGGATATGGACCAATCACAGCTCACGTGTTCTGATTACACACCCTGGCCGGGGTTTGCGGCGGATGACATATGCTTTGACGAATTTGGTCTACCTGGACGTGCGAGTACCTTTGCCATCACCCATCTCGACACGCGCCCCTCGTCTTCTCACGCCGTAGAGCACTCTGATGTCTGGCCCTGCCATCATGTCACTCCCCCGTGCTACGCGAGCCCTCGCACGCTCGACCTGGTCGCTGCAACGCTGCGCCGCACCCCCGTTTGCCCCCCGCCAATGTCCGCAATGCTCGCGGTCCTTTGCCTCGTCGCCGCCATATCGCCAGTCAGCGAAGCGCCAGATGCAGACGGCGACGGCCTATCGACCCTCATCGCTGTATCCAGAGCCGCCGCCACGGAATGCTGGCGTGCCCGACACTTCAATTGCAGGCGGAGCAACGGCGCCAAGGAGCACAACACCACCGGCTCCGCCGCAAGAGCGCGACGCCGCTTCACAGTCCGAACTGCCCAAAGCCACCATACCCGAAGGCGAAGCGCAAAAGCCCCAGCAGACGGCGAGTCCTAGCAAACCACTTCGACCGCGCCGGTACAACTTTGGGCCTCGCAAGGCAACCATCAAGCTCTCGCCGTCGGCCGTGGCGCACCTCCGCGAACTGCTCGAATTGCCCGAGCCAAAGCTCATCCGGATAGGCACAAAGGCAAAGGGATGCTCGGGGCTGGCATATCACCTCGAGTATGTGGACAAGCCGAGCCCGCTCGACGAACAGGTGGAGCAGGATGGCGCCAAGGTGTTGATCGACAACAAGGCGCTGCTGAACATTATCGGGAGCGAGATGGACTGGCTGGAGGATAAGCTGAACGAGCGCTTCATCTTCAAGAACCCAAACATCAGTGAGTGTGGCACGCACGGCGCTGCAGACCAAGGCTAACATTCAGCAGCGGAGCAGTGCGGATGCGGAGAGTCATTTAGCGTGTCATGATACCCTTACATATCGTTTGTACTATAGAAGCATTCCGGGCGTTGCATATGGGGCGTTATTCAGTCAATCCCGACACATTCCTAGGCTATGCATCTGGGCAATGGCTCCGCTTTCTTCGTCTGCTCAACCCATCCCTACATCTTTCCCGGCTCGTAGTCAACGACCCTGACGCCGCTGGCCACCTCACCAGCGAACTTGATAAACTCCTGATGCACGGGGTCTTTGAAGACGTAGTAGTCGCGGTCCTCTTCGTTTTCAAATTCAACAACGAAGCCATGGGTTGAGTTGCCCTAGTAACGTCAGCAACCGGGTTGGCTGGTGCTTGGGAATACACACAGCTTGGCCCTCGGGACTGTTGTTCTTGCCGCCAGTAAAAGACCTGATGTAGGGCTTTTGCGAGGTTGGGTGGATGCATTGGTCTTTGAGCTCAAGCATCCGCTTGCATGCCTGTTGCTGTTAGCCTGACGGCCCATGGCCCTGTGCTGTGGCCGTACCTCTGCGATTTGATCGGGGGTTGCAGTAGGCTTCCATTCGAATAGAACAACGTGAATGATGGTCATCTTGGCCCAGCTTGGTTCCAGTGTGAATGGAACGCATCAGCTCAACGATGCGGCAAAGAGGGGTCATGTCCCGGGGTGGGCTACGCTTCGGAGGTAAACAACCTCATCTGCTAAGCTCCGGCCGCCGCGTCTCGAGCTGCCTGCGCGACGGCCGCCGAGTCTGCGGGACCACCACCCGAGATGCAAAGCAAAAGATAGCAGCGCAAACCATGCCACGACCGCCATGACCTCTTGTAGACTGGATGCACATGAACCATCGCTTATCCTTCCCGCCTCGCCCCTCGCCCCCCAGCCCAAGCGCAACCCTCGTCGGCCAGCACAATGGCAGCCAACGCGCATATCCTTCCTGAGCAGCTGATATACCTGATAATCCGCTTCACGGCCTCGGTGCCAGATCTGCCCCTCACCATCCACACGCCCCGCATCATCGCGACGCTCTCGCTCAAGCAGATTATCCGCCAGCACCTCCCGCCCGAGCATGTCTCGTCGCGACTCCGCCTCATCTACGCCGGCAAGGTCCTCGCAGACAATGAACCGCTTTCCCGATCGCTAAGACTACCGTTGCCATCCCCATTCCGCACCAGCAAGAGCAGCGATGCCGCTGCAGGAGGCAGCAGCATCAACGGCGAGGCAAGCAAGAGCAAAGGCAAGCAGCCGCTGCGAGAGACACCGACGGTCGAATACGGCACAACAGGCATCTCGGCGGAAGCGAAAAAGTACTACATACACTGTTCGCTCGGCGACGCGCTATCTGCATCGGAGCTGGCGAGCGAAGCCACGCTCGCACAGAACATCGAGATAAGCCTGAAATCGCAGCTCGACGGCTCGGCCGCCTCTGCGCACCGCGCCAAGGGCGCCAGCGCAGCAGAAGACTATGCGCACCGCCCGAGGAGCTCGACGGCAACGTCCGGCGCAACTGTAGGAACAGACGCAGTGCCCCAGGCACAGGGCTTCGACCGCCTGCTGAGTTCGGGCTTTACCCCCGCAGAGGTGGCCAGCTTGCGCTCGCATTTTACCACTAATCTGTCGTTTACACATACCCCGGATACCATGCCTACGCCGGCCCAGGTCCGCGTGCTGGAGGACCGCTGGCTCGACTCGTCGGCAAATGATCCTTCTGCTTCGCTCGCGGCGCCCGGTGCGAATGGGGGCGAGACGGGCTGGGGCGCGGGCTTTGCCGTCGAGGAGGGCGGCCTCGACGACATGCTGTATGGCTATCTAACGGGCTTCTTTTTCCCGCTCGGAAGCCTGGTCTGGGGCTTTAGAGAGGAGGGCGTGTGGACTCGACGCCGGCAGGTGGCGGTTGTTATGGGCGTCTTGATCAATGCGGTTTTTGGCTTCATGAGGTGGGGTGCTTGATGAGCTTATTACACCGTTTTTCTACTTATACTTGGATTTTCCGTGTGTCGGCGTGGCGTGGCATCATTAAGCCCGTGGCATCATCGCCTTTGCGACTATGTACATTCGAGGCCAATACGCCTCGTTAATCAGTCTTCCCTCTTCCTTAACACCCACCACGCAATTCCGTGTTCGTTTCCTAGACATCTAGACGTATCTACAACTCTTCATTCTCCTTCTGCGGCGCACCCATATAACTCAGCGGGCCCCTCTTCACCATCAAAGTCATGACTTCATAAAGCGTGTCCTGGATCCCAATACAATCAGTAAATAAAGCAACCCAGCATGTGAAGGCTCGACTTACCGCGGCCGCCATGGTCGTCAACTCGGCATTCGTGTCGTACGCAGGCGCGACTTCAACGATGTCCGCACCAATCAGATTGATGCCTTCGAGGCCCCGGATAATCGTCCGCAGCTCGCGCGTCGTCCACCCGCCCGTTTCGGGGGTGCCGGTCGCGGGGGCAACTAGATGGTGTGTTAGCTTGGATCTTTTCTTCTTCTTCTTCTTCTTCTTCTTCTTCTTCTTCTTCTTCCCCCCACACTCAAGAGGAATATAGAAGAAAGAAAGAAAGAACATCAGCAAGGGAAATCAACATACAAGCCGGATCCAAGGTATCAATATCGATACTCAAATAAACAGGGTTGACAAGGCCGACGCGCTCCTTGATCTTCTTGATGATACCGTCCATGCCAATGGTGTCGATTTCACGGGCCTCGACAATCTGGAAGCCGCAGTAGCCGTCGTTGTCGTAGTCCGAGGGACCCGATAGCGTGGTGCGGATGCCCGCGTGGATGCTCGTGTCGTTTGCGAGGAGCCCCTCCTGCGCGGCGTGGAAGAAGTACGTGCCGTGATTTATGCTGGCTTGGTCGCTGGGGGCGCCGCCAAAGACCTTGGGGCGCCATGTGTCTCTGTGGTGTATGTAGTGTTAGCTATGCACAAGGCGAGTTTGTAGGGAGTGCTACGTACAAGTGGCTGTCGAAATGGATCACGGTAATAGGACCGTACTCGCGGTGCACGGAGCGCAGCAGCGGAAGTGTGATTGTGTGGTCGCCTCCCAGCGTGATCATGCGCGGCAGTGTTTTCCCCTTCTTCGAGGGCCCGGGCTTGTGCGCGTGGGTAAAGGGTGCGCGGCTCAGCAGCAGGTTGTGGCCTTGCTCGATTTGCTGCAGCGCATACGCATTGTCGTATCTGTGTTTCGCAGCACTGTTAGCTACATACACAGATATATAGCAACTTGATCAACACGAAAAGAACCACATACGAAGTCACGGGAATGTCACCGCAGTCGATAATCTTGGCCCACGAGTTAAACGGGTTGGCCTCGAGAGGCACGTTGTATCCGCCGCTAAATGCGAGTTTGCGTGAGCCTTTGCAGGGGGATTGCCAATACAAGTAAGCTATTTGCTTGTACACGGTTACACGTACTAGAGATTGAGGCGGCGAGAACCTTGTCTGATGCCGCTGGGGCCGAAGCGCGCGCCGGGACGGTACGAAGTGCCCGTGTCAAAGGGGGCGCCTGGATTACAGTTAGATGGTGGAAGCTAGCTTGATGTGTATAGGCATACCAATAAACGCAATGTCGTAGTTGACGTCGCTGGACAGACAAGGGTGGTACTTGAGGCGGCCGAATGTCGAGATGCCCGAGAACACCGAGTCGGCCTATTTTCCACAATCAACACTGACGTTGAAACGGGTATTGCTAGAGCTTCTTACTTGCTTGCCACCGTCTCCAGGAAGCGTGTTGTACCAGAGACCCTCGTGGGGGCCGGCCAATGGCTCTTGGTCGTGGTCATGGTCGCCATGTGCAGCCACGGCGGCGGCGAAGCTCAGAAGCGCTGGGGTGAACCTCATGGTGTAGACTCAGTGGGACAATGGAGAGGGATCAAGAAGGATGCGGATCCAGATTTCTGGCGTGCGGAGCGGCGGTAAATAGCCGTCGAGAGGGAGCTCACGCAGACTTCACTATCAGTTGCTGGCTGACGAGCTCGCGTTAGGTAACCCGTACTTGGGTATACAATCGCTGAATCGATCCCTGTACGTGATGATGTCGTCTGCAGGTGTAGCATCTCACTGCCTTTAATCGGTTAGCATGTCTTGGGGGCATCAGGGCTTTGATATCCGTCAGTGCAACAGTGTGAGGCAGCGATTTCGCCCAAGTCTCGAGCCATTGGCACATGAAATGCTGTTCAATAGAATGAGCACCATGAACACCATTCGTGGAAACACCCCCCCTTTTACAATGCCAAAGAATACCTTGATGGCTCACAGCAACATACTCATCCTCTCTACATGCCTCTAGACCTCCGCGTCTCGCATCGAGCAGGGCTGATCACCATGGAGACGAGCGACCCCGCCCTGTGCGATGACGGCAGCATACGAGCAAATAACAGCAATCGAGCCAGTAGCATTGCATTTGGCGGCACTGCTGTAACGGCAGATACTCGACTCGGCTGCTCGCTGTGCATCCGGCTTATCTGAAGGAGCTGCACACTTATGCATGCAACACGCGCTTCCGATGCAGCAATCACGTACGTCTTAGCCTGCACATTTCCACGTAACGCTCTTGCCTAGTCGCTCTTCTGCGGCGCGGATTGGCTCGATAAGAAAATACATGAGTGCCGATTATCTCGTAGCTCTGTATCGCGGCAGTATACCCCATGGTGTCTGTGGCGAATGGCTATGCTCGAGCGATTTCCTCTTACTTGGCAGCGCTGTACAGCGCAGAGACGGATAGTATATCACCGAAAGGCAGCGGGATGTGGGGTGTGCCGCAAGCGGTGCGGAGGTAATCATGAGGAGTGGAAGTGGGAGTGGAGTGAGGTCTGGATGGTGGAGAGAAGAACAGGGGGGCGCCGATACCCATTCGCGCTAACGGCCGTTCGCTTAACGCTTTTGGTAATTTTTCGTCAAGTCGTGCATTAGCCGCTCGCGGGCTTTGCTATCTAGCCGTACCCATACACGTCTCGCATGTCTAAGAAGCGTTGCTAATGCCAGAACAAGCTCGCCAATAACCTGACCTTGCCCGAAAAACAAAATAAAATAAAATAAACAACAACTGGCTATCTACGTGCTGACAGTCGCTTCGTCCGGAGAAATACCCAGCTCGGCCCTATCATCCGCATCCATCCTCTCAAATGCCTTCTTGACCTGGTGGCTCCAGTCGCTCCATGCAACTATGGCCCATTCTGCAAAGCCGACAAGGTACAGGGCGATGCATTGCCCAACCCAGAGGCCTGAGAGACCCCAGCCATGGAATGCAAGCCAGATGCCCAGTGGCAACGCACCGCAGTAGTAGCTGACTATGTTGACCGTCGCTCCAATATGCTGCCGGCCCATGCCTCTGAGAGCCCCGCCGCAGCTCCCATTGAGTCCATCTGCAATCTGGAACAATGCAACATATGGCATGACTCTCGCCGTCAGCCTGATGACATCCTGGTCGTCGTTGAAGATCTTTGCGTAAAAGCCCTTGACCCCCATCAGCACCGCCAGCACAAGAGCACCCAGCACCATGCTCAGCACAGCGGCCGTGTTAGCAGCGCGGGCGGCGCCTTTTGCGTTGCGCGCCCCAAGCAGATTGCCGACGCGGGACGACGTGGCAACGCCCACGCCAAAGGGAATCGTATTCATGACCTGGTCCGTAGTCATGATGACGCTTTGCGCAGCCAGCGGTATCGTCCCGAGCTTGCCTGCAACCAGCGCGACAATCTCAAATGCCCACCACTCCGTGCCCACGTGTATGACGCCGAGGAACGCCAGCCGTGCAAACACCCACATGTTCTGCAAGCACTTGCGGTCCCACCCGCCCCAGCACTGCCACCCGTCTACGAACCGCGCGTAGGCGAGCAGCAGGAAGAAGGACGCCCAGTATGCGATGCCCGTAGCGAGGGGTGCGCCAAGCAGGCCCATGTTAAAGGTATACACGAACAGGATGTTCAGGCTGGCACTCAGCGGAGACGTGATGAGAAGGACGTACGTGCCGGGTCTCATGATTTCTATGCGTGTCAGTGCCATGTGATGATGCCGTGTACCGAAGACATACCCTGTGCCTGCATGTACTTTTTCAGCGCCTCAAAGTATATGTAGCCTATGCCTCCGGGGGCCAGCACGGAGAGGAATCTCGCCGAGTCGCGCGCAATGTAGTCTTCCTGGCCGAGTGCCTTGAACAGTGGCTCGGAGCAGAACCACAGGATGGCAATGGGAATGTAGAAGAGCAGCAGCACCACAAAGGAGCGCTGAAGAATAATCCCAAGGTCGTGCCGGTTCTTGCTGCCGGTAAAACTCGCAGAAGCCAACGTGTCGATGGCGGTGGTGCCGCCGAGAGCAACGAGCCAGCCAGTCGCCATTGCGAACATGTATGAGAAAGCCGCTGTAGCCAGTGCTTCTGGCGATAGCCGGCCAACTATGAGGACTGAAATTGTTTGCAACGAGTTTTGCAGCGCGTATGCTACAACCACGGGCAGTGATCCTTTGAACAGGATCCAGAACTCATTGAGAACAAGCTGCAAGCCTGATGCTGTTTCATCGTCCAGCTCATGCGTTTCTCCCGTCGACCACTCTTCATGCCGAGAGTCAGGCAGAAGAGAAGTCCGCTCGTTGGGCGTGGTGTCGTTGTTCTTCGCTGGTCTCAGAAACCGCGGTATCCATGACCGAGCCCCGTTGTTGTCGTAGTCCATGGCAGAAAGTCGATGATAATACAAAAACAAGACCTGACTGAAGAGAAACAAACAATCCAACCGAAAAAAAGAACCTCGTTGGTAATTAAGTGTGTTAGAATCTGCACTTCGCTTGGCTCCAATAGAACACACAGAGACACAAGAGGTAAAAGGCCAGCATGCTGTACATCATGGCCACCGCTGAACCGCGTCTATGTGGTTAACGGCAGATAGACCGCCAACCCATTGACAAACCCATTGATAATACACACACAAGAAAATGGCTCTAATCCGGTGTAATCGCGGAATATTTTTTTCTCTAACCCACTTTGAAGGACGGGTAACAAATGCAGCGTATCCACCGGCAGAAGCCCACATATTACGTGCCGTTCTAGGCTTCTGTTGCTGGCGTCGAGCCGCATGCGGTGAATGCGCAGCAGCAGCTGTAGTCTTATCGCCTTGCATTTCCGTAGTCTTGACTAAGGCTCTTCGGTAAGCTCTGCGTCCAAAAGACCCAGCGTGTGCAGATTCGGATAAGTGCCGTATGTGGAGCTGGGGAAAACTCTTGGTGCCAATGACAGTGCCGGCTGCCAGCGTATCGGGGCCGATTTGAGTGCCGAATGGCGTCATCACTTGGCTCTATTGTAGCAAAGTATTGAGTGCTCAGCGGGAATAAACTAAATCCGATAACAATTGACATGGAGGAGAGGAGCGTAGTCTGAAGACCTTGCGTGAGGATGGGATTGTGGCTGGTGGTTTAGCGAATGTGCCGTGCACGTGGCGGTGCTGTGTACCTTGGATCAGCCAAGACGCCAACGGGGTAAGACGCTCGGTCTTCTCAAGCAGCTAGCATCGAGCAGAGGAAACCTGGGGTAGTTCTCAGGGACAGAGCGTATTGCTGGAACTATTATAATCCAGGTATCCTTGATTCCACGACGTTGCTCCAACTACTGATTTGGTGTGGCGCAGCGAGTAACAGCTACCACAAACATTGTGTTTGAAACACGCACTTGGCCTACACCTCTGCGGCCCAATGAAACCACATTTCTCCTATTTTCTCTTAGCACTGAGCAATCGCATTTCTGTGAATCCCATCCCCATCCATCTGGTAGAGTCGAGGGTGAAACAGCCACAGGAGCCATGTGTTCATCGTGTATACGATTATCCAATGTATTTGATGTCAATGCGACATGCGTCACAAACTCATTAGACTAAACACAAATAGCCTTGGGCCGGCGTGACCCCCTATCTCTAGCTCTAGCACCGAGCAAAACCGTAGCGCCAAACATGCGCGCGAAGATGCAAAAAAAGAAAAGGAAAATGTCATGATGGGTATCGAACGTTACAAATAAGCCTCCCAGAGAGTAACAATCTAGCGCTCACTAACAAAGGCCGCAGCCAGCAGGATGTCAATGCCGCTGGCCTGCGTGCTCGGGTTGCCATCGTTACTGCCGCCCTGCCAGCGGTCGGGAATAACGTTGCCCGTGGCCTTTTGTGCGGACCGCGCGGCGTTGGCGTTGATCATGAAGAACTGCTTGACACTGTCTCGCGGCTTGTTCTCATACAGCGTCATCAGGCCTCGCACAAAAGCCCCCTTGAACTGCGAGGCGACGGGGTCCAGAGGCGAGGCGCGGGGTTCGGTAAGAATACCACTAGGATCGACCAGGTGTTTCGTCACGGCGTCGAAGATGGCGTAGGCCGAGTCGATGAGACCACCATCAGATGTAGCACGCGAAAGCTCAGACAGGCCGGCGAGGATGATGCCTTGGTTGTAGGTAAAGGTTGCCCCGTTGTTATTTTTGCACGTCTTCGGGTCGATTCCGTCGTTGATCAGTCCCTGCGCGTTGATGAGGCCCGAGTTCTTGAACCATTGCCATTCTGCTTGCGCCCAGCCGACGTAGTACTGTTTGTCCTTTGCGGCAACGCGGTTCGCAAGGTGTGCCGCCACCGAGAGGAAGAGTTCATTCGCAATGGCGGCAATGTAGTCGCGGTCCTCTGACCACCATATGCCACCCTTGCAGGGCGTATTCCACCCCGTCGTCATGTTGTCGAAAATAAACTTGGCGCTGTCGAGATACTTCTGATCCTGGGTCAGGTCGTATGCGGTTATCCAGGCCATGGCCCACCATCCCATATCGTCGAAGAATTTGTTGGTCCATTTGACTGCCCCCTTTTCGTTTGCCGATTTGGCGTAGGTATTGGCAACAATGTTTATGGCAGTTGGCTTGAAATCAGCATCTTGCATGCCAAACTGAGCGATGGCTTCAACAATATTGCCCGACTGCCACCAGAACTCGTTCCTAAATACTGTTAGAGACGGCGGGCAAGTCGAGTACGAGCGCTTACCATAAGCCGTTACCAAAGTTGTACCAGTTTTTCTGTAGTGTTTGAATGGCAGCAACCGTGTCGCTTGTGAAGTCGGCAGATGTGACATTGAAGAAAAGAATAGGCAGCAAAAGCGCTCTCAGGAACCGCATGGTGATGAAGAGGTATGAAAATATGGATTACTGAATCTGAAGGAAAATCCGAGGGCGCTACAGTGGATAAGTAGGCAATAATGTATGGAGAGAAGCCCCTCGATGTTTTATGTATCCAAAAGCGGATATGAAGGAAACAGAAGCAACCACAGCCTGAATGCCCAGCAAACATACGAGTAAAAGAGTGTGAGAGGCGAGTCCCTTGCCTGGGATGCCAAACGAAGGCATGCACAGGATATTTGTACGGAGACAAAGTACGCTTCGAAAGCACTCCGACCAACGCTCGCCTCGCCTGGGTTGTATACAGAGTCATCCCTGGGATTAACAGGGCGGAAACTATTGTTAGAGCCCGTGGCACAGCCACCATGACGGCCTTGCGGCTCGTGAGGCATAAAGGGCCGTGTGGGCGAAGATGGTGGGCGAGTCAACCGACGGGTTTGACGGCAGCTTGGAGAAGTCTACTTACAGCGGCAAGTAAGATTGCGCATGTCGGAGCCTGATCGACATGACCCTATCGCAGGCGATGAAGCGACTACTGTCTAGGAAAAGTGCAAAGTGGATCCGATCCGAAACACGGGGCTAACCGGTGGTAGGAAATCAACAAGACTGTAGATAACGCCATGAAATCTTGATTGGAGGTCTCTCTGGAATTCAGTGTATTCCTACCAGCACAGCATGACACAGGGGGACCCTGACATGGCGCGTGGGATGGTTGAAGAACGGAACCGTCTACCTTGAGAACGGCAAACCTCAAACACGTGGGAGTACCCACGACTGGCTCCAAACATTGAACAGCCGCCGTGTAGGAAGAAATCGGGCCATTTCCGGCTGCCATGTGGGCGGCTGAGCGAGGGCAGGATTGTTTGCATTTGCGGCGCGAGGGAGCGACATGAGGAACGCATGTCGTTGTTGATTTGTTGGTGTAATTGTGGAAGTCTTGGCGACGACATGCACTGTTCCGCTGCTCATGCTGTTAAAAACACTGACAATTATAAGTAGACAACCCTCCCCTCCGCCATGTGCCGTATAGCCCGAGTCAGGAAACTATGTGTTGGAACATGTGGCACCCGCCGTGTCTGAGGTCAAGGCCGTCAGACCGTACGACGGCGCTACTTACAGGCCAAAAAGGGCGGAGGTAGATTTTCGAAGCTGGCGGTTCGTCACAAAGGCTGCAAAGGGTAAGTGTGCTCTCGGCGACGATAACTCGGAGCGCTGGAGGGCCAGTAGTGACTCGCAAAGTGTAGCGAGATGAAAAGTGGATGGATGGCAACATAGGTCAAACTTGATTTTCAAGAGGTGTGGGTGTGGCGAGGACCAAATTAGCAACAGTGCGGCGGCAAAGCATCCAGGGATTTGGGCAGATGGTGGATACGAATGGGAGAGGTCGAGGTGTTCATAAAGATGTGCATGTTGGTGTTGGTGTCGCTGGCTGTGGATGAGAGAAGAGGAGATGTGCATGTGACGGCGACTGCGACGGCGATGGCGATGGCAATGACGAAGATCACGTGACACGCGACTCCTTCGTGACACTCTGGCTACGTCAGCGGGGCGCTACCCCCACTACAACCTCCAACTGCCCGTGTATCATGTCTTTGCTGGGCAAACGGCGTCTGCGGAGGCGCCGAAGGGCTCCGGGCCATGGTCTCTGCAGAACCAGGCCAGCCTCATGGTATTGCACCGCTGCTCAGCGCATTCCAACCTGGTTCATGACTGCCTCGTCGTCTTGGACAGCAATTGTGATTGTACACGTAAGAAGCCCGCAAAACAAGCGCGACGCATGCCCCTCCATGACCTACAGCTAGCCTGTCCAAGGCAGCTCACAAAGGCGGGGCAGACTGCCCTTGTCCATTCCGCGGGCAGAGACGGAGCAGCGACAGCGAGAGGGCAGAGGGCCAGAGCCCGAGTCCACTCTTAGCCGTGACCAGATGACGCGAATGCCATGCAACGCCGCCAGAATGCCATCAATCAAGCCAAGGCAATGTGCTGATCTGCCAATCGTGGCGGCATGTGGCGCCTGCAAACTGGTATCCATCCCTGGAAAGGCCTCGCTGCTCGTGCAGAGCCCAAGTCCATCTCACCCACATGTCTCTCTCCTACACCAACGGCTGCTGCTGTTGCTGCTGCTCTTACCTCGCTAGCAGATGACGTACCTGTGTCGTAGCACGTCACTGCCGCCTGGATGCCCATGACCCGGGTATAAAGCTGCCTCTTCGCTGCCCTCTGCACCAGCCCTCATCACACTCTCAAACACACTCTCCAGACAACCACTACAACTTCCAACCCAGCTCTTCAAACAACCGCCACCAACTCCATCCAACATGTCTGACTCCATGCGCAAGGGACTCGGCGAGCAGGCCTCGGAGAAGAGTGAGCTCCCACTCTTTGCCAGTGTCTCCAGTGCACCACGCTAACAACCCAAAGTCACCCCCGACTCCCAGAAGTCCACCACCGAGAAGGCCTCTGAGAACCTGACTGGAGCCGGCGACCGCATCGCTGGCAGCCTTCAGCCTGGTATGCGCCCTGCCCCACCAAGCATTCTTCGCTTGTATCATGACACTAACTGTACCCATAGATGACCAGAAGTCGGCTGGACAGAAGCTCGGCGACGCCACCCGCTCGGGCGGCGACGACGCGTCTAACAAGAGCTCCGGCGTGCTGCAGCAGGCCCAGGACACGCTCAGCAATGCTGGCCAGAGCATCTCCGACACCCTGTCTGGCGGCCAGAAGAAGTAAATTGCTTCTTGTCCACGCCCCTGACGACACGACCCTAAGGATTATCGACGATACTGTGTGATAGGTGGAACATACCTTTGGCCTCGAGCTGCACATAATTATACCCTAGCACCTCATGAATGAAATAATTCTCAACACGCCTGTTGACTGCACCGCCTGAGTGACTGTGACTGCCACTGCCGTGTCTTGCTTGTTCCCTAGCCGCCTCATGCAGACCTGTGAATGTGAATCAAGCCCAGCCATGCTGCAAACATGTTCATACTGTGATCGGAGAAGAAAATCGTGGTGTACAGAAGCGAAATGTGGTATCATGCATTCTACAAATCTTCATCCTCCACCTCCTCCATCTGCACGTGCTTGAGCGTGTTCTCTGCCGTACTGGCCTCATTCGATATGCTCTTCATTTGCCCCACGGCTTCAGCAGCCATCATCGTGTACTCGGCCTCTTGCACCGCCGCCTCTGCTGCCTTCTCCGCCATGGCCCCCGCACTCATGCTCTGCAGCTTCATAAACGCCTCGAGCTCCTCATCCGGCTCGGGCCCAGTGTCGCCGCCAGCTTCAGCCTCAGCCTCAGCCTCAGCCTCAGTCTTGGTCCCATGCTCCTTCATATACCCCTCTTCCCTCAGCTTGTCAAACTCCTCAGGCTCCAGTAACCGTCCCCCGCCCTTTGCCAGCTTCATCTTCTGCGCCACAGCCGCAGGCATAAACTTTGTAGCTTCCTTGCGCAGATCGCGGACCTGTGGCGCAGCTTCGTAGACAATCGTCGGCTTCTTGGGCTCGGGCGGTGCCTCGTCGGCTTGCGAAGCGCGCGCTTGGTATATGCGTGGAATGGGCGGTGGCGTGTCGCGAGGCATGGGAATGTGCCTCACATCGTCGTCGGTGTCGCTGCTGTCGTCTTCTTTCCGCTGCCCGTTTCGCGTCCGCTTGCCTAGGACGCCGCCGCCCCGATTTTCTCGGTCGCCCCGTCCCCCGTCGTCATTGTCGAAACGCCGCTCGGGCTTGAAGACTGGTGCTTTGTCGCCGAGTGCAGCGCGCGCCTTATTGACGGCTGCGAGATCCTTTTCCAGTTCTTGCAGTCTTTGGCGCTCATGCGGCCGTAGCGAGCCGTTCTGCTCGAGCTCTTTGAGGCTGTCGATATCCCGTTGTATGCGATGGGGATTTCTGCGCGCGAGTTTCTCGTTGCGCTGTGTCTGGAGGTTGGCCTTTTGCTTGCGAAGCTGCTTCTGCTTCTCTGCCTTTTTGGCTTCTTGGACGGGATTGTAGTTCTTCTCTTTTGCCATTGCGACGGATTGGCGTGTGTGGTTTCGGGTGTAGCGAGGGTTAAGATGCTGCGTGTGGAAATGGAGAATCTGGGGACTGACGTAAGGTCCGTGCTCACAGTCGCGGCGCGCGTCTGCAAGTCGCCTGCATGAGTATCGCGACCACGCATGGATTAAACAGTGCTTGCTTGACCCCCAACTACCATTGCAACTTATCCACGACAATGTTTGTGCCGCGAGCACTAAGGCTCAAGGGCGTTCGCGAGAAGCCGCGGCCGAACACGTCTAACCCGCCAGCGAACAATGCTCAGTCCGACCATGAAGAAGCGCTGGTTGAGGCTATGCAGAAAACAAGTACAAACTCTCCTACTTACCAGCCAGAAGAACAGATTGAACCTAAACCTATCAAATCTGGTCCTAGGTTCACTACCAGACCCGTCACAGCAGAATACATTGCTCAACTTGCTGCTGGCATCGAGCTCATCTTCACCGACTATGCGCACCACGAAGAGGAGCGAGCAAAGTGGCTTCAAGATCGCTATCGGACAGTAGATGGCGAGGGAAAGTGTGCGTATTTCCCACTCGGGGCGTGTGCATAGCTGACCCAGGGTCAGATATCCATCTTACCGCGATACTCGAGCACCCCAACATTTCTTCGCTAAAGCCCGAAGCTTCTCAGATTCTCCTCAAGCAAGCGCTCCGGGATTATCCCTCCAAAATACTCGAGGTCTCAAGCAATGGATACCATGTCCGCCGCAAGCCCTCTTCGTACCCTCCCAAGTACCTACCACACAACTCGTTCGACGTAGTCGACGATGATGGTCTGGCATTCTGGGACCAGCGCACCATCTATGTTGAACCGCACATGCGCAACTTGTGCCAAACTCCTGCAAGAGTGGCTCAATGGCTCGCAGAGCATGGGCAGTTGCGGCCAAAGTGGCTGCCTGTACAAGCGGTGCATACCCTGTGGAATGGTTGCGCTTTTGTTGTTCTCAGCGGGAGTGTTATGCATGAGGATGTCTGGCAGAAGTGGAGAGATGCAGACAAGCCAGAGAACTGGAAAATCATGACAAAAGTCGAGCACACCAAACGCACAGCAGAATATGTCGCGCTGCTTGAAAAGCAGAACCCAAGGGGAATGCGCAAGACGAAAATCAAAGATAGTGAGCTCCCGCCAATTGCCCGACCAGCCGTGCTCCCATTGGCGACCAAGATAGCCCCGGAAGACCCGGGCAATGGTGGTCAGCAAGGGAAGAAGAAGCGGAAGAGGCGAAAGCCAAACAAGTCTGTTCATAACAAGGACGATATAGACGCCCCTGAAGATGCTGCTGAAGATGCGGTCAGTCTACCAAGCACTAAGCGTAGAGGCTGAAGCAATGGCCCCAACATTACTTACACGGAGTACCACGCGGATGCACAAAAGTGTCGCACCATGAAGAGCCCGGACATACGCACTCGGCTTGTACAGCCAATGCTGGCCTTGACGAGTTCATACTGAAGATAAATAATCTGATATGGCGACCTTAATAGCCATTGTTAATCACCCCAACTTACCCCACTTGCTTACTAGCACTAACATCTAAAGTGCCGAAACCAACTAGAATGAGTCGAGTCGTCAACCATGTCAGCGACATGATTCAACCGAGGATCAGTAAAGTTGCGAGAGGGGCGGCCCTGGGCATTGTCGTTCATTTCGCCATAGCTTCTTTAATCAGAGTGTCGATACACAACTGTGCCTTTGGCCATCGTAACCATATCTCCTTTCTTTACGTCTTCAGTGTTTGAGTCTAGCCTAACTGCTATTTTTGGACTTGGTCGCTAGTGCAGCAGCAAGATGACGACTGTTGTGGAGAAGACGGCTAACGGTATCATCTATCGAGCATCCGAAGACTATCCCATTCCGGATATTGATATTCTCACGCTCCTGTTCGGTACGTCTCTGCCCAGCACACCCAGCCGCTCTTCCGTCGTTCGCAAAACACACCACCATGAGTAGACAACCAATACTAAATCTTGTCCAGATTCGGAACACGGACTAGCAAAAGAAGATACACCCATTCATGTCTCAGCTGATGATCCAAGTTTGATATTAACCAAATCGCGCGCCCGCCACCTAACACAAGCAACAGCTGCGGCTTTCCGCAAGCATTTTGGCATTGGCGCAAATGGTCCAGGAAAAGACGTGTGTGCTGTCATTTCAACAGGTCACTATCTGGTGCCCGTGCTCACATACAGTGTCATTGGCGTTGGCGGTGTCTTTTCTGCTACATCTCCAGCCAGTACAGCCGGCGAGCTGAGCAAGCAACTCCAAGGCGCCAGGGCCAAGATTCTCGTGACGTCTGAGACCACGAGGGCGACAGCTGTCCAAGCTGCGGAGATTGCGGGATGGGGGTGGAAATGGAGGTGGGAGAGTGCTCGTTACGAGCGAGGGGAGAGATTGGATGCTCCAGGTGATTGGAGACGATGGCCGGTTAGGTCCAAATCTCATTGATGAGAATGACGAGTTGCCATGGCCCAAGACAACGGATCCACACGAGCTCGAGAACAGTCTTATTGCTATGCTTTATAGCTCTGGTACTACGGGCCTGCCAAAAGGTGTGTAAAGAAAAATCTGGAGGTGGATGGCGTTTACAAAACCACCATGGACTGACCGAATGTCTCCTAGGCGTCAAAATTTCTCATCGCAACATGGTTGCACAGACCCTAATTCAAGGTAACCTTTATAAGCCATGGGCAGCAAAGCATCCAGAGTTCCAAAACAGGAGACTTGCTCACAAGCCTTTTGCGCACATTGCTGGCCTCCATGGCTACCTGCTCAACCCCTTCTTGCTAGGTGGCACCGTGTACTGGATGCGCAAGTTCGAATTCGCCCGGTTTCTCGAATACATGAAGAAGTACCGCATCACGTACATCTCCACTGTGCCGCCCATCTGGCTGCTGGTTGCAAAGTCTCCCGAGGTTACAGATCAGCTCAAGACGGTGCAGCTTGCACTCAGTGGCACAGCTCCTATGGGCAAAGACCTGCAGTATGCTGCTAGCCAGAAGCTCGGCGGAACAGACAGCTTCATTTGTCAAACGTGGGGGCTGTCCGAAACCACGGGTAGTGCTACAGTCACGCCTTTTGGAATCAAGGACGACACTGGCTCTGTCGGACCTATCATGCCCAACATGGTGGCTCGCATCGTCGACGATAACGACCGAGACGTTGAGCCAGGGAAGCCAGGAGAGATACTTATCAAGGGACCGGTAGTATGCAAAGGCTACTACCAGAACGAGGCTGCTACTAAGGAAGCCTTTTTGGGAGACTGGTTCCGCACGGGCGACATTGCAGAGTTCCGCAACGGCGTGTTTTACATTGTCGACCGCAAGAAAGAATTAATCAAGTACAAAGGCCTGCAGGTTGCGCCCGCCGAACTCGAGGCTTTGTTAATCAGCCATCCGGATATCCTGGATGCGGCTGTCATTGGAGTCGAGACGGATGACGGGCATAACGAGGTTCCCCGGGCGTACGTGGTTGCTGACGAGAAGAAGATTAGTGGCCGTGCCATTGCGGAGTTTGTGAAGCAGAATGCGGCGGGCTACAAGCAGTTGAGAGGGGGCGTTGTTTTCCTCGACGCCATACCAAAGAGTCCGAGCGGGAAGATTTTGAGAAAGGACTTGAGGTTGTTGGCGAAACGCGAGAAGGACGCCAAGTTGTAGACTACCCTATATAGCTACATAACCTCCCTCGCGCGGCTTGAACTGCCAGTCACCTTACGAGTGTACGCACGTGGCTTCGGGATCGCCCGCGCAGCCGAGGTCCATGACATCATACGTGGCGACACACACTTAGTCTTGGCCATTGCTCTGGCTCAACTCTCCTACTCTACAGATCAGAACCATGCCTCGCACAGCGGTATATTCTCAATGCTCCATTGCGCTGAATAGTTCTAATTCCCCGCTAGCAACAAAACGAGAAGATTCTCGAGGCACTCGCTTCCGCGGACGATGGCGGCCAACAGATTGACGCGATAGCGAGGATAAGAGGATGGTTCCGCCCCAAAGATGCAAGCACTTCGTACGTGATTGTCCAAGAGTATCTGGACGAGAAAATCGACATGGGCGAAGTGGTATCAAGCTTGTTCGGGCCCATCGACGAGAAGATCAATGCTGCCCGCCTTGACGACGTAGACTTCATGGACCTTTGGTACAGCATCATCCACTCAGCAAGACGTGTTCCATACCATGAGAACAGCGGAGACTGCAACCATAACAAACTGGTCGACTTGATCAAGAATTCTAAAGAGCACTCTGTGCCAAACAACGAGATCTACAACTATATCTACAGCGAGATGACAGACTTTGGACTGGCTTGTCGCGAAGCCTACAACGATGTTCCTGTCGCGCACAATGGCTTCATCGACAAAGAGGTAGAAGCATGGGCAAACTTGAATGCCCTCTATGCTCTTGTCACGAAGAATGGCGTGTATGACCTCTCCATCTATGCCATTTATGCCTTGCGGCCCGCCCTCGAGGAACCCCCGGTCGATGACCCTTTTTCCACTGCCACCCAGAAATACGATGCCAATATCCCTGCTGCAGCCGCCTGGGTTTTTGCCTATGGGCATGAGCTCTGTCGACTAGACAAGGACCTCACACCCTCGGACAGCAAAATGGGCAATCCCGGAAAAGGCGGAGAGCTCTGGACAGGTAGGGCTGGGTTCAGCCGAGAGCGGTGGGCGCTGTGGAAAGAGAGGTTCACTGCGGTTGGAAAGATGGATGGCGTAAAGGAAACGACGCGGGTTATGGCGAGAGACGCGGTTGAGGCTATGGAAAGGAGCGAGACATCTGAGCATATGCGATGATAGTGCATGGCTCGTGTGTAGATATTCATATTTGGCAGCGGAGGTTGTTCTCTGACACGCACAAATTGCGGACCACCATCACCACGTCGCATTTGCAAAACTGCTTGTGCTGTAGCAAGATGCGCATTCCCAATTTTCAACCGAGATTCAAATTCGCCACAGGCCACCATTGCAACAAGGCACGCGGCAGCGCCTCGAATTGGGTAGGTTGCTCGCGGATCCAGCGTCGCAGCCGAGGGCTAAAAAGCCTAGATCGGGTGGCGCCTTGACCCGATCTCAGACTAACGGACACCAGTAGAAAAAAAAGAGTGACAGGGGGGGCCTCCGTCTACCAATACCAAACTACAAGTGGCCTACGGTAGGCGGAGCGTCTGCCCAATTCGATCCATGTACCCACACCCTACCGCCCAGGAATTCAATGTGGCAATGAATGACGGCTCGGAGAAGGGTCCCAGACCCCCTCTCTGGCGGCACCAAGACTCAACCTGCAAGCATTTACCAGCATTTCCCGGCGGCGCCAGAAGAGAAAAGAACATGTCCCGAAGTTCTAGCGGAACGGGTGGCCTGAGTGATGGTGGGAGTAGGAGTAACTGACAACTCGCAATGTAGATATTGTCAGTAGATTTGATCAAGATTGTATCATAGTAGAAATACAAGTTGCAGTATTGGGTATGTAGATCCAGAAATCCAAGTAGGGTGTGGTGTCCAGATACAGGAGTAGAAGCGCTGAGTAAAGATACACACCTAGGTGTAGTGAGGGGCTGTGGATGGATGGATCCGTACAGGGATCAGTCGTGCTACGAGATACTAGGGACGGAGCACTGGAGTAGTTGGTAAGGGACGGGTGAAAGACCAAGCGAGTCAAGGGACTCTGCAAGGCCAGACCTTGCTCGACTCCTTTGCATGTCCATGTAGGTATATAAGTATAGAGACCCTGCAGAAAAAGAGTGGAAGAGAAACATCATTACCATCATCACCATACACTGATCTTCGCTGATCTCCACACATCTGGCTTGAGGATCATACGTCTCCATCCAACCAGAGCAAACATAATACCCGAATTACGGAGCCTTTTTGTCCCATACCAAACAATCTACCTAATACCTATTCTACATCCACATATCTCAACCATGCGTTTCTTCGCCGCCCTCCTCAGCCTCGCTGCACTCGCTACCGCGCAAATGAACACGACAAACGGCATTGGCAGCACGCCGACACAGCGCCACGTGATCTCTGCCGACCAAGCGCAAACCGCCATCAAAGCCGCCATTGCAAACGCCACATCGCTCCAGATCCCGGAGAACATTGCCGTCGTCGATCCCGCAGGCATGCTCGTCGCCTTCCACCGCATGGACAACGCGTACATCGGGTCCATCGACATCAGCCACAAGAAGGCGCGCACCGCCGTGCTCTTCAACGGCATGACTACCGCAGACCTGTATGCTGCGGTCCAGCCTGGCGCCCCGCTTTACGGTGTTGAAAACACAAATGGAGGGCTCGTCGTGTTTGGCGGCGGTCTGCCCGTGTACCTTGATGGACGGCTGATTGGCGGCGTGGGCGTCAGTGGCGGAAGTGTAGACCAGGATTTGAGCGTGGCTCATGCGGCGGTTAGGGCGCTCGGCGCTGCGGCTAAGGCGTAGAATGCATAGGCAGTAGTGTAGACTGTAGGAAGGTTTGTCGGCGCCTTTTCAAAATAGGAGATGTGGCGCTGGGGTGTGGCGAGGCATTCTGTAAAACGGTTGTTTCACTAGGGGGGGGTTAGCGGATTGATGGTGACTTTCGTTTTCTTTTTCTACTTTAAGCCTTTTTCGCTTAGTTGGGTGGCAGGGTCTTTTGTATGTATATAGATATATATTTGATAATGACGGTATTGCTATATATCCTGGGATCAGCATAACTGTGGCAACAGGGGGTTGATGTGGGGTGCCTTGTTTTCTCGGTTCAGGTAGCGTCACTGTATATGGAATTGCTTTTTGCTGTGGCAAGGCTGAAAGTCTAGTCTCGTTTCCTGTTTGGGACTGAAGAGTCGATGCAGTGTCGTCATATGTGTGCATACTTTGATCTCGTACTTTTGCGCGGAGAGGGTGCTGCAAAGAGGAGCGATGCTCATATTTTTTTCAACTGGAACATCTAGTCACTAGGAGAAGGGTAAGGTAACTTGAAATTGTGATTGACGAGCCAGCGCTTGACTCGGTCGAATCTAGGCCTCCGGGTATGAACTACTGACCCAGGCTCAAAGTACTGAGAACAGCCTATGTAATCAAGAATTCTATTAGCGACATTCCCATCTCTCTCTAATGAGCTCTTCGATGGTACGAAATACAAATCGTTTTCGCCACCGATTTCACCCCTGATCGCCCTTTCCATCACCACACCAGTTGGACGTGGAGTGATGGTGAGCGGTGATTTCTCAGAGAAAATTGGCGTGTCAGATGATGCTGTTTCAAGTCCAACGTCTTTCACGTTGTAGTAACACCTTGTGCGTTTCTCATCTAATGGATGGCCATGCCCCCACTGAGCCAAGCCGAACACCATGGTCAGCGTGATGATGTTTGAACTCTACTATTCTGTCAACCACATGTTGGTTATTCTTGCTAGACTGGGACAGATTCATCTTCCCCGGGCCATCTTAGGGGTAGATACAGTGAGAGGAATGTTGCTATGGAATTGTCACAACTTCTTTGACCATGATCGCATGTCTGATATCATACATATCGTGAGTAGACCAACGAATATGATTACGAATGCCGATGGCTCTCAGTTTCAGCGCCGAGCAAGCATGGTGCGATGTTTGTAAAACGTCAACCTCCAGGATGACCGAAATTTCGTCCGAACGGCGATACAGATGCCGTACAAACTGGCCGACATTTCATTTGAAAAAGCCTTTTATGGGAGCCTTCACCCTTAATTATAGTAGCACTCAACTGTTTTCTCCCAAAAGACAACCTCACGGGCTTCAATGCCCGATGCAATGGATGGAGAAAAACAAAATATACCCCTGAACCTTATTTGCAGTTACTATGGCCGAGTCACTGTTCACTCTTCACGGTATGCTGGTGAGGGATAGCCCCTTTCCCATGCGTACTCTTGTCGCATGAGATTTCGTCAGCAGCGGGCGTTTAGACCTTGTCTTCCTTTCTACTCTTGCTGTTCACCGTCGCAACTGTCGCGTCGCGTGTTCCAACATGTTTCAGAGGTTTGACATAACCAATACCAACGCCGCTCCGAAAACTACAAGTAACCCCACAACCGTCCAAGTGCTCAGCGAGAAAAGCCATTATCGGGATGACCGGAACAGCGCAATTGCAACGGCGGAGACTCGAATACTAAAGCAGAGGCGCATCAAGAATCCGGTCAATGCCGTCCAGATTGCTGCGCCCGCGGCAAGGGTCGCACTGACAGGGTCTATTGTGTCCTTACTTCCCCTTGGATCATATACAGCCATGTTCTCGATACTTGCCATGTCGATTGTGAGCCGCCGGCTCCAGAGTCAAGCGGTGGGCTGCGTGGTTGCGTTTCTGCACGCGGGTGGTCTTTCTGGCCTCGAGGGTCAGGTGCTGGCGTTGTTGAGCTTCATAAGCTTCAGCGCCGTATTGGGTAAGTCTAAGCGTCTCCACAATACTCCTAATTGCGTCCTGACAAACAATAATAGACAGCCTGGACGGTCCACTGCATGCAATATACAAGAGTTCCATTCACGATATCGAACTAGTTCAGGACACACTCACTGCTATATGTGTGTCCATGTTCTTTGAGCTACTGGTACTTTTCTCGGCCATCTTTTTCGCCCTGCACAGGATCTTTACGAATGCGCCTCGGTTTACCGCCGCGTCCTGGAGCCGGAGACTATCTACTGGTACGCTCGAATCATGCCGGCGGTTTTTTGTCCAGGAGCTGAATTATGTGCACGGCATAGAGAGCTTCGCAGACGAAGAAAGCGATGGCTTCGGCTTGGGCGTGGGCTTGGGCGTGACGTGGGATGCGGTGAGCCAGGCATCTCAGGAAGCACTCTCGACCTTCTCATCACCAAGTTCTAACTGTGGGGCGTCGCGTGGGGAACTGTTTAAAGACAGCGAGATGGTGGAAGACGCATGTGACGATGAAGCTCGGATTGAGAGCCGTACGGAAGACGCGGAAAGGCGCACCCAAGCCCTGTTCGGCGACGTGAATCGTCTGATAGACGACTGCAACGGGCTCGACACGGCCCAGTGGGATGAAGTGATTGCGGCCTTGCACGAACCCCAAGGCGTTGGTGTTGTGGAGGACAGAGGGCCCAATCTCGACCGGTCGCTAGCCGCGTCGGCGGCGCGTCAGATGCCATAGCAAGGCAATTGTACTTTTACAGTGGGACACATGGGTATATTTGCATGTACAATAGAATTATTTTCTCGGCCAACCGCCTAGTATCCAAAAATCACCTGGTCGCCACGGCGCATGTACAAAGGCGTACACCAGCCACCAGCCACAGGGGCGGTGCGCCAAGACGCTAGCCGTTTTTAGACTAGGTCGCTCGCTCGCGCGCCCACAGGTCTCAACTCCAATATTGCACTGAATTCGCGAACGACGACAACCCCACGACTAACACACAGGTATCACGCCAACACCGCCAACATGCGTACCTACGACGATTCCTTCAGCGGTCAAAAGATCTACCCGGGCAAGGTGCGTTATCATGTCGCTCCACGTCACGACGCTCGCTCGCCGCCGCCGCCGCCAGATGTCGACATTGCGCCATCGCGACGCAGCAACGCGAGGACCTGGCGGGGGATGACGGGACACCACAATGGGTCGGACATTGGCTGATTGCTTTTACAGGGCAAGCTTTACATCCGTGGTGACAGCAAGATCTTCCGCTTCCAGAACGGAAAGAGCGAGTCCCTTTTCCTCCAGCGCAAGAACCCTCGCAAGATTCACTGGACCACTCTCTACCGAAGGGCGCACAAGAAGGGTATCTCTGAGGTTAGTCGCCGCAAATCTGCACGCTGCTGGGACATGTGTTTTGGACGGCAGTGAAGGATGACATCAGTCTACACTGCGCGAGATGCACACGGCATAGAGAGCATCGCCACTGGCCATGTTGCTGTCACCCCTCGCTGCGAACTCTGCTAACCACCATGACCACTACAGGAAGTCGCCAAGAAGCGCACCCGCCGCACAGTCAAGCACCAGCGTGCCATCGTCGGAGCCTCGCTTGACGTGATCAAGGAGCGCCGCAGCCAACGTCCCGAGGCCCGTGCCGCTGCCCGCAGCGCCGCCATCAAGGAGGGCAAGGAGAAGAAGGCCGCCGCCGAGTCAGCAAGGAAGGCTGAGAAGGCCAAGAACGCTGCCGCGTCCGCACGAGGCAACGCCGCCAAGGTCAGCAAGCAGGGTGCCAAGGGTGCCGCACCAAAGGTGCAGGCAAGGACTCGTTAAGCGGATTGATACGGCGTGCATAGTCTGGGTTATGGCTGGTTTTTCGGGATGACTCGGTGTTCCTTTACTCTCTGAATCTCTCTTCCGATAAACTTGGGGAAAAATGGAATGAATGGAAATGGCACTCATGGCTTGACATGTTTCTGGATCGGTGTACCAGACACTGTCCCATCTTAAAGCATCTGGCGCCGTAGGGCAAATGCAATACCATGTCCTCACGAAAGTACTGCCATCCAACAAAGTCATGTGGTGTAAGTGCTTAGAATGCATGCTACTGCGACCACTACCGGGTGACATGAAGGAGACCAAGAAAGGCCCTCAGAGGGAAGGGGGGGGAAAGGAGGTAGCTGTTTACATTTTCATTGAGCCAACACACCACTGGCATCGTTCGTGTTCGCAACCCAAAGGACGTCGATCTACTCGAGGTACAATTGACAATGTGTTCATACTTGCTTTTATCGTGCGTGCAGTACTGTACACCGACTTTGTAGAATATGCGTTGATGCTAAACAAGAGAAATCTATGCCTTCACCCCTAATCTTAAACTTGCATACTTCACGACTACCCCGACATGTCTGCCTTTCCCGGACTTCGATTATCAACAAACACAACGTCTAATGTCCTCGTATCAACGTCATGAAACATGCGAACCTATGTCTTTCAGCATCACTATCCTAACCTCACTCACAAGTACATGACGTACATTGATACCCATTAGATCTGGTGGCCCTTGTCCAAACTGCATCATTCGAGGATCAAACCAAACGGCACTCCCACACGCCGTGCAAAACTTGTGCAAATTCCTCTTTGGTCCAAAGGAATAGTCTCTTAACATGTCTTCACCGCTCTTTATGTGTAGCTGCGACCGCTCGGGATACACTAGCAGGTAGCCGTTGCGAGTGCAGATGCTGCAGTTGCACGATACGACCTTCCACTGGGGCAGTGGTGGAGAGAGAAGAACCGAGTATTGTACGATACCGCAGTGGCAACTTGCTGCATAGGTTTGGCAATTGCTTGGATCAAAGCTGGGTAAGGGCGGCATGGTACTCGGTGAGTCGGCCATGGTGAAGAGGTGCTGGTGGTGCAAAGGTGGGGTTGAGGGGGGTAGTCAAGAGTATAGCCAGTTAGTCTCTGTTCAAGTGAGGCGCATGCTACATATACTGTGTTTGATATAGGCACGAGAGCATACTAGGCGCCGCAAGCGTTGTTCCTAGGCGCAAGCTATCTTCAAAACGCCGTGGCATCGGTGGTAAAGCCATGGCAGCCTGTTTACAAAAGTCTCCGTTTCCGGTATCCGGCGACGAAATGTCTCCGAGGCCGCTGGAATGGCATTGCAAGGGGATGCGGTGACTAAGAAGAGTAACATGATACTGTCTATTGGCAAGAAAGAGGAGGAATGGGTGGGGCGAAAGACATGGATGGACTCACGTGACTACGAGTCACGTAGAAGGTATGAAGACCTTCGTTTATGTGGATTTGATGCTAGAAATCACAAAGAGCTTGGCTACTAAACTCTTCCTAAAAAAAATATGAACGGACGAAAACTACGCCGGCTGCATTGCAATCACCTCAAGATACGAAGACAAATGCTTGACAGAAATACATGAAGCCAAGCACCTGTCTCAACACTATTTCTGGTCTAAAAAGCGTCCCATATTCCCCGTTAGTCTCTGCCCTCCCACATCTTTCGCCATCGTATCAGCCCAAATCTCGTCCCACCCCGTCCTATATCTTGTACGACGCACCACGACGCGGCCCCCCCATTCCACCGCAAAAACTACCTCGTACCACACGTAGCGCGCCAGGGCGGCCCAAGAAAAAAACAAAAAGCCGCAAGTTGCACGGCTTCCAGCACCACCGTGAGCCCGCATACCATTTGCCTCATTTCCCAGCGATTCATAACCCCCGTCTTACAAGCCGATCCCGTAGCACCTGGTCTCGCCTGCTTTGTTAGTTTAAACGCCGGCGGCGTTGGGGTCTGCTTGTTGCTTGTTGCTTGCTGGTTCCACGAGGGCGTGCGCTACGAGGGCTGTGGGCGGCGGTCGTGGTTGTACGGCGGAGAAGACGCTTAAAGGAGAAAAGAGCAAAAAAGTGTGCTGGGCTTGTGCGAGGTGTGGGCCGTGAGCTCCGATTCGTGTCTTGGGTCGGAGACGCTATACTGGGTGGGCAAGTTTATGGTGCGATCCAGAGGCTTGGGCTGGGTGCGTGGGACAGAGAAGCGGCGTGTTGTTGGTATGCGTGTTACTGGGTTCTGGGGAGAGCGGACGAGGATATGCTAGCACTGAATAGTGATAGCCTGTGTTGTGTGTTGTGGTTGTAAATGAGGACGGAAATTGCACGCCAACACTGGAACATGTCAGTTACTATTCTTGTTTGTTGGGAATAATTATCTGTGTTCGATATGTTCGGGGAACGTCGTGTTCAAGTTCAGGTCTACTGCCATGTACACAAGAATACAAGCAACATGAATCCGAATCTCTGATGACCCAAGCAGAGCAAGGGCTGATTGTTGTTATTTTCCCTTGTTTCATTGGTACAAGACGTAACAAGTCAATAATCAAATGGACCGTTGACATACACAAATTACAGTCTCTAAACACTTAGCTCAACTGCGACCTATTCATGTCTGTCTGGAAGCGGTTCTACTGCTTGAATGTGTTACCAAGTCCTTGATTGTCAGCATCGTTTCTCGATTTCAGAATAGTAAACTTGAAGATATTGCTACTGTACATATAATCTGGCGGTCAGTTCTCAAGCCTCGCTGCAAGATTGTAATTGATTCAGACATGGTGAATTCGTCTACAGCAATGGCAGCTGTTGAAAACTGATGGGATGTCATGAAAGAGGGTTGCATCCTCGCCGCTGAGAGGGCTTCGATGGATGGAAGGCCTCCAAGCCATTCTTCGGTTTGGAACTCGCAATCATTCAAACAGGATTCACACAGCGCTTTCCTACTCTCGCTAATATGAAGCACTGTCTGAGTGTGATTGCCTGGGAATGCACAGCTGCAAGGTCAGCGTAGAGAACAAGTCCTCAACACTGAATTAAAGTACTATATTTGTCTGTAGCCTTTATTGGTCGGCATAGAGTTCCGTACGCATATCCACCAACGGATAGCATTTAGCATACGAACTACAGAGCAGCACTTGGCGACAGAAACGACAGAAACACCTACCGCTACCGACGACATTTCCACTTATCTGACGCGCACCATCTCACGAGCAAGATCTCCATCTCCACAATCATGGCAACCAATCCTGGATCTCGCATCACGACATCATCGATGTCGTCGTTGGGACCTCGCCGCCACCGATTGGACTGGCCCAAAAAGAAGCACCAAATCGAGTCCAACATCGGCGATTGCAATCGACGATGCTCAAAGCAGCAGAAGGAAGAGTCCAAAGCCATCAGTACTGCGCGCACGCCGATTCAAACCCAAACCTCAGATCCCCAAAGATATCCAATTTTGCCCGTCTCCACTGAAAACCGCATACTTCGTGCTCGCGCAACCACCACGGCATACGGCGCGTCTTCCCCCCCCCCCCCCGCGCCTCTCTTCGCACTGCCACTGGAGTTGCCTCATCGCAGCAACAATATATTGTCACTAGGGAAAACAACGCAACGCAAGCTACTCAACGCAAGCTGCAAGTAGCCAAATGGAAAAAAAAAACTTCGATCTGTGTCTTGTATCAAGGTGAGTAAAACAAAACTCACGCTGCTGATTCTCACGCTGTGTTAGGTCCCCGGCATTATGTGCCGAAGTTGATGATGACGACGACGACGATAGCTGATACTACTGATGCTGCTGCTGCTGCTGCTGCTGCTGCTGCTAATGAAGCAACGATATTGGGAAAAAGTTCCAACGTGAGACTAGGTGTAGAGTGATAGTGTTTCACAGCATTCAGGTACTCATATTGTCGTAGCCTTCCAAAAAAGAAAAAAAGAAAAAAAGGACAAAAAGGAAAAAAAGATACGACTCTTCCCAAACGGGTAGTTGGGACTCGGAAAAGGAAAAAAAAAGTTGATCAGTCAGATGGCAGTCAGCAACATCATGGACAAAAATGCCCGTCTGAAAGATTTGCCTTGCTCGCTCGCTCGCTCGCTCGCTTACCTACTTGCTACTTTTTGCCACAACCACAACCACATCCACATCCACCTGCTGGACCCCTTTTTTTCCTTCTTTCTTTCTTTCTTTGCACGATTCACGGGCCCTAGCGGAGAGGGACCGCAAATCGCGGGCATGAAGGGGGTGGGGTGGGGTGGGGTTTGCGAAAAGCGCCATGCATTTGCATTTGCATTTGCATTGCCTCCCTCTCTTCTCTTCCCCTCCCCTCCTCCTTCCTTAAAAAAAAGCAAGGAAAAAGAAATTTCACGCAGAGTTCAGGTTTTCGAGAAGTTCATGACGCACTGGCTGGAGGGGAAGGGGGGGGGGTGAGATTCTTTTTTTTGTTGTTGTTGTTTACGGAGAATACGGCAAGGCAAGGGCCGAGGAAAAAGGAATGAATGAAAGGTATCAACAAGGAGGGGGAGGGGAAGTAGATGCATACGATACCCGATGGTGCATCAGATTATCTTTATTTTTCTGTACCGTTCTTTTTTTGTTGTTTTTGCTGCTGCTACTGCTGCTGATGCTGCTACTCGGACAGCTTTGACTTTTTTTTCTTTCTTTTTTCTTCTAGTTGCGTACTGTAACCTGCATGGACGCGCAATGACCCACCCCACCAAACTCAACACCTACACAAAATACCTTATAACTCCACCAATATAGATTTGATTTAGGAAGCGATTAAAGAAATTAAATCGCGTGAACTAGGCGCATCTTTTAGCTATTACTAAGTTGTAAAAAGGTTTAGCATTAGCTATTGTACGCTCGCTCGAAGACACTAAGGCAAAACTTAGCCTCGCGCGCTCACCCACCTCTCTATCCACCTATAACGCGAAAAGGAGCTTATATAGTACATTAAATCTCTTACTAAGAGGCGTACACTACCTTCGCGTCTAATAATACGCCATCTTGCATCATCCTTGCTTAGTAGAGACGTTTTAGAACGCTGGGTTTCTAGGTTCCTCTGCAGGAACTCCTCTTATCTTATCTCTCGCTGGCAGAGTCCTATGGACTAGAAGCGTTATAAGGCTAATTTAGCAACTAAGTATAGGTTGTACTTTAAGCTGTTACATAATAAGATAAAGGAGTACAATATGCAGCCCTTTCACATCTTTAATATAGATAAAAAGGGCTTCTTACTTAGAATCCTTAAAAGGTCTAAAAGGATCTTTAGTAAGAGGCAATATAAAAGAGGAGGAGTTGTTTTAAGCCTATAAGATGGCTCTAGAGAGTGGATTACAGTCTTAGCCTGTATCTGCTTAGATGGTACACCTCTTTCTCTATCTCTTATCTTTTAGTCAGATGCTGGAGCTCTAAAATCAGCCTAGGTAGAGGCTATTAATCCAAACAAGCACTTAGTCTTTGTTACCTCATCGCCCTCTAGATAGACTAACAATGATATAGGCCTAGCTTGGCTTAAAGAGGTCTTTGAAAGAGAGACTGCACGCTACACTCGAACTAGGTACTAGTTACTTATTGTTGATAGCCACTTATCTTATGTAACTATGGATTTTCTAGATTATTGCAATAGCTATAGGATTCTAGTTGCTGTATATCCTCCTCATTCAACCTATAGGCTTTAGCCTCTTGACGTTAGGATGTTTAGGCCTCTTGCGTTAGCCTACTTAAAGGAGTTGTTAAACTTCCTCTATTGGAGCTATAGAATCCTTCCTCTAGCAAAAGGAGACTTCTTTAAGCTCTTTTAGAGGGCTTAGGGTATAGCTTTTAGAAAGGAGACTATTATAAGCTCCTTTAAGGCAACTAGCATTAACCTACTAAATGCTAAGGTTATTCTCTAAAAGTTCTAACAAGAGGCCTCTAGTTTAGATAAAAGCTCTTCTTCTGTCCTTAGTAGAGATGATTAGCTTAAAATTAAGTCTATTATACGCTAGGAGGTGAAGGATTTTAATAATAAGGAGGTAAAAAAGCTTCGCTGAAGCCTCCATCACCTCTTAGCTTAAAATAGTATACTTAAAGGAGAAAACTAGGGCTTAAGGGAGGCTCTAAAGGGTAAAAAGAGACACCAAAAGAAGAGCTACACGCTTTAACTCAATAGGCCTAAGGAGTACTATAGAGGAGCTGTCTTTTGGTCTCCTAAGAAGGTTCGCCAAGCCAAGGAGGATAAGATAGAATAATAACAAGAACAACAGCAATTACAATTCTAGAAAGCTGAGAGATCTAAGTTAAGGAGACAAGCTTAATTGTACAAGCTTCAAATAGCCCAGAAGAAGCGTGTTGAGAGAGAGAGGCTCAAGGAGGTGAGAGAGAAGGAGAGAGCCGCTAAGGTGGCTTAAAAGGAGGCTTAAAAGGCAGCCTAGGAGGCTGAAAAAGCTATACAATTATCCTAAAGGGGTAAGCGCAAAGCCTTACAAGGCTCCTCTTAAAAGCAGAAGCGTTAGAAACGTGTTGTTGTTAATTTATCTTATGTACAAGCTAAGGTGGCTGCACTAGCCGTCCTAACTTGGACTACCTACTATAGCCGCACTACTAAGCTACTAAGTAGATATAAGTAGCCTATTATGATTGCAATGCTATAATTACTACAACACTATGAAATCTCGTGATAATAGCGACTGTGGGTGGCTGTACAGCCTCATCTTTTGCAATAGGTTTTTTGGTGGGGTGGGTCATTGCGCGTCCTGAGTCATTGCGCGTCCATGCAGGTTATGTGGTCCCTACTCTCTTCCCTGCTTTCACATCGTGCAGTAGTCGCAGCAGCCGGCCTTTATTTCTTCTTTTCTGTGTCCCCCTCCATACCTTCATACCTTCATCCCGACTTTTTTTTTCTTTTCTTTTTTGTCTCGCCGTCGTTCGTCTACTTACCCCTGTTCCGACTGCCGCTCAGACACTCCCACTCCCACTCCCACACATCCTTCGGGTCCCTCTCCCTCCCTCGCTACCGTGCGGGGCTACATCCACAATCCATACATATACACACCTCGCACAAGCAAAAGTAAAACAAAAAAAACACACGCATACACACACAGAGAGAGAAAACAGAGGCGAGTCCTCCAAAAACGCCGTTTGGTGGGACAAGACCCGCAGCAGCAGCAGCAGCAGCAGCAACAGCAGCAGCAAATAACAGGGTTCACTGAAGCGAAAGAGAAAGAAAAAAAATGACCAAGAGGAAGAAAAGAAAGTTAACAAACATACATAGTCACATACATTGGCTAGCAAAAGTACACCTAGTGAACGAGCAAACGAACCCCATTCCCATACTTAGTTACTTTATTTCAAGTCTGTGTGTCTACACTATCCACAGATGACAGATACGTACGTACGTACGTACGTAAGAAAGTTGTTTTGAAAAATCGCACCAGGGTCCCACACAGTAGTTCTTTTCTTTTTTAAATTTTTTGCATGCTGGTATTTTCTTATTTTTTTCGTTCGTTCTTTATTGCACCACCCTGGTTCTATCCTATCGTGACCCATGCTCTCTAATAACTCTAGCTCTCGCCGTGCCCTAGGCATAGCGTCAGTGTACACACCTACGGACGGACCACCATCGCATGCACATATTCGTTTTTCTTTCCTTTTCCTCAGTTTGCCGCCCGCCCGCCGCCATCAACGGTACGGTACGCGTGGGTTCCGCGCCGCGGTGGCGGCGGAGGCGCCGGCCATGGCGGGTGCTTACTTGCGTGATGCTTGCGCCTTGCTCCTTACGACCTACATGGGTATGGGCATGGCATTTTCTTCCTGCACGAGCGCGGCGAGAAACCCCACACACACCAGATAAAAAAAATAAGCATAAAAAAGGCGGTGCGTTGAACGGGGCCTCGTACTGTGTTTGACATCCGCATGCGTGTATCCATATCTGTGAGTGGGTAAGTAAGTGGGGAGCAAAGACGATACTGACACCGACACTCCCAACTGATTCCTACCTGCAATCCCGACTTTGCACTTGCCCTTGCATCACTCTTGCTGTATGTTTTGATTTTGATTTTTCTTTTTTTTTCTTTTCAGCTAGACCTATATCTGCAAATGAGAAAAAAGGAAACTACTATGTGCTATAGGCATACTTCCCCACCTTGAACGGGGAAGGGGGTGGGGGGCTCCATAGGTGTAGAAGCCGTGTATTTGTCATTCATTCGTTCGTTTGTTTTTGCTTATAGGTGTAGCTGTAGGTAGAGGTGTATATGCAGCACCCCCTCCATGCTAGTCCACTGCCTCCCCCCTGCTCAGTCTGTATAAGGGGCTCAAGTGGATTGGTTTCAGAGGAGATGAGGGGGTCGGACATGACGATGGTGTGATTTTTCCTTGGTATCTCGCTCTCTCTCTCTCTCTCTCTCTCTCTCTCTCTTGATGCTGGGCATACGTCGGTGTGTGTGGAGGTACAATTATCAGTGCTTCAGGATACGTCATGAGTGTGAGGAGGTATTGGCGGCGCAGCGTTGCGTTTGCTTCTTGAGATAGGGGCGTGATTATCAGTTGGCCAGAGAGAGTTTTGCCGCGGTCTCGAGCGAGCTGGAATGACGTATCGATACTTGTGAAAAATTTCTTCTCTCTTATCCATTTATCGTTGACTTGTTCTGTTTTGACGCTGCAAGTCAACACGCATAGTCCCTCTTATGCCGCAAGTGTCCAAACACGTGACTGCGCAGGATGACATGCACAACGCCAACGACGAGACGTTTGTTGCGCAAACTCAAACGTCTCTCAGAAGAAAGTCGTAAATTCCGATGCGATCTAGATGATGTCATGATTTTCCCGGCAGGCTATGCTTTTCTTGACGCACGAGGGCAACCTGTTGCAAACCACGATGCGCGCGCAATCTTTGATC